TTCATCCATCAACAAACCACTAACAAGGAGAAAAAATGATCAAATAAAAGATTTAAATACTGTTATTTGTTCATACACATATGAGGCCTATATAAAAGGCTATCATTTGTTGACATACATATATATATATGAATCTCTTAATTCCAAGTTCTTTAAATGTGCAAATGCTGACATGTTTTGGTCTGTGCCCGTGGTTTATTCAGACTGAGTGCTTGCTGCGAAATTGTCATGCAGATCCAATGTATTACTCACAATGAATTACTTCTATCAATGCCAATCCACTGCCATTTCGTTATTAAGATAAACTACCAATGCACAAAGATAACACGACCATTTAATTCCAGCTAATGGGGCTTTTCGTGGAGAGGGGAAAGGGCTCGCATTACCTTGTTTTTGGTGTTGCAATGGCAGCAGACCGTCCACAGGTACTTAAATCATCATCATCATCATCATTATTATTATTCTGTGGATACTTATAAGACAGATGACAAGATACACGGTGCCTGTACTTGACAGGCTATGAAATGAGACCCTAAACCAAGTCATTTTCAAAGTATAAACATAGATAAAAGCCCAATGATGTGTAAAAGAGATTTACTGACATCTGTGATTTTTTATGGTTATGATTTACGGTCTGAGAGATGCTGGTACTTAACCAAAATAGCAGCTGAAACAGAATCTTTGTAGATGGTTGTCAGCTGGTGTATGCTGGCCTATAGTCGTATCAACAGATCAAGTCACTCCAAAATATTCCACTGTCTTGATTTGATTTATTTATGCATTTGCTTAGTTGTCTCTGTGCATGTATATAAATTGACCACCTAAAATTATAAAATAGTATTTGGTTCAGTTTCATCTTTTGCCGTTTTTGACCTTTCAGAATTGTGTGTTGACTTTATTCTAGTAACTATTGGATCAGATGTATAATGAAGTGTTCTCCAACAAATGATTAGGCACTCATTTGTCTGATGGTGTGCTTAATGGATAATGCAAGGATGTAAATGTTACAGAGTTTATCTTCCTGCTGCCAACAATCATCAGAGAGGACAAATTAAACCGATCTAGTGGCAGTCATGTCATCAACTGCATTGGCCTCTTCAGTTCCTGTATCTTCTAAATGAGTGATATCTTTCAGTGATATACTAAACATGATTTTTTTTAGGGGTCTTTGCAATTTACTGTTTATCTTGAATTTTATTTCCCAAAAAATTAAATAAAGTTGCACATTTAATTATATAAACGTCTAAACTTATACACAAAAGTGCATTTATTCAGATTTCCGTTTCACTTTCACCATTGTTGAGCAGCAAATAAATGTTCAAGCTGTATCTGTTACTTCTCCTCCTACTGGACAACAGCAGAAGTGCAAGTTTAGTGTAAAAAAAACATTGAGCTTGGCGATTTGACATTTGCACCCGGAGCAACATGGTTTCTCAATATAGCTCCAGTTTCAGAGTTACACTAAGACAGGACAGACCCTGAGTCTTACCCAATAGACATGTGACAGAAATGAATACTACCACCTTTAAAAAACAATCAATCAAATAGTTGATTTCTCTCAATATGTCCCTATGTGTGCATATTGTGTTGGCAACATATTCCGTCCTTCTCTTTATCTGAAACTATATATTCTTGTATCATGTGAGGGGGTCTTTTAATGGTTTTCCATCTCATCACAGCTATCCGTCTGTTCTAGTAGGCCACCAGTTGGTAGGGTCTGGATCTTGCAGACCCGGCCTCAGTGGTGTTATTTATGGAGGGCAATAGGATCCACGACTGGTCGTCTTCCTGGAAAACGTGCCCAGCTGTCAGCTTAGACGGCTAAAGAACTGGTTCCTGCAAGAGCCGCATCACACAACAGCATAGCTGACAGATGCAAAGCTTAGTTACACAGACATCCACAGGAACTTTATTTCAATGCTGGAGGAGAAGAGCACACAATGGGCGAAAAATGTTTCATTAGTTGACCACTCAGGTTCTAGTACTAGTTCTCAAGTTCAGAAGAGCTGTCAGCGAAACATATACGCCAGCAGGAGACTCGACCCTTTCTAAAAAAAGAGGAAGGGGACTTGAAGGACGTGTTGCTTTCGGGGTGAAGCCTAAGAATGCCGCAAAGGGCTTCCCGTGGCTGAGAGAGGAAGCTCAGGACAAGAAATCAGCACGAGCCAAATGAGGACGCGCTTGGGGGAGGAGCTTGACTTCTCATGACTGAACTGTGATAATCGGCGCTGGCATGGCCGAGGGCATCTTCAGTGCTACACACCACACTAATCCTTTACTAAGGAAATGTGCTGTCGTACAGCCAGTGACCTCTCTGTCAGGAGAATGTTTGCTAGGGCTTACCTGATGACTCTTCATTCTTGTTTGAAGGGCAGCTGAAAACAAGGAGGAATGTGTGGCCAGAAGCACACTATTCTTCAATGCCTCTTTAAAGCAGCATATTATGATAATTAAGTCTTTGGCTACAGTTTTGAAGCCTGTTTCACAAATGATTCATGTGCAAGTGACAGCCTTTGCTGCTAAAATGTAAATATGCGAATTAATTGCATGCATTTTAGTATAGTATCGTTATAGTACACACTTGAAATATTGAATGCTAATGGACAGTTGAGATCAAATGATTTAAACTGGGAAGAAAAAAAATAAAATAAGGAAAATTATTATTTACATACTCTAACATTTTTCCCCCCCATGAAACACGACTTTTTTTATATATATATGCTGTGACACTTTACAATAAAAAGTCTGTCAGTTTGTCGAAGGGCAGCTGAAAACAAGGAGGAATGTGTGGCCAGAAGCACACTATTCTTCAATGCCTCTTTAAAGCAGCATATTATGATAATTAAGTCTTTGGCTACAGTTTTGAAGCCTGTTTCACAAATGATTCATGTGCAAGTGACAGCCTTTGCTGCTAAAATGTAAATATGCGAATTAATTGCATGCATTTTAGTATAGTATCGTTATAGTACACACTTGAAATATTGAATGCTAATGGACAGTTGAGATCAAATGATTTAAACTGGGAAGAAAAAAAATAAAATAAGGAAAATTATTTACATACTCTTTAAAAAAATTTTCCCCCATGAAACACGACTTTTTTTATATATATATTCTGTGACACTTTACAATAAAAAGTCTGTCAGTTTGTCAATATTAGTTAATGCGATAACTTGAGCTAAAAATGACCAAGTATATTATGGCATTAATTAAATTAGGTCAATGTTATATGAACAGATGTTTGTTCATAGTACATTAATTTACTTGAAATGTGATAAATGTATCTATATCTGCATCATCTATTTGGACATCCACTTATCTGTCTGTATCTACATGTCTATATCTACATCCGTTTATATCGACATCTATCTGACTGTATTTACATCTGTCTATATATCTATATCCATTCAATCTACATCCATCCATCTATCTCTATCTATCTATCAGATGGATGTAGATATACAGATACACAAATGTTGATACAGACATGGATTTTGTCTATATCTACAGGCTACCTATGTTTGTGTATCTGTCTATACCTACATCCAACTGCCTGTCTACCGCTACATCTATCTATATTCACACACCTATGTGTTTATAACATCTGTCTATCTACACTACAGTATCTATCTTTACACCCGACATCCGTTTATATCGACATCTATCTGACTGTATTTACATCTGTCTATATATCTATATCCATTCAATCTACATCCATCCATCTATCTCTCTCTATCTATCTATCAGATGGATGTAGATATACAGATACACAAATGTTGATAGACATGGATTTTGTCTATATCTACAGGCTACCTATGTTTGTGTATCTGTCTATACCTACATCCAACTGCCTGTCTACCGCTACATCTATCTATATTCACACACCTATGTGTTTATAACATCTGTCTATCTACACTACAGTATCTATCTTTACATCCATCTCTGTCTGTCTATCTATACTACACAGCCTTCACCAGTGCTTTTCAGTGCCATCAAGGCAAGTTCAAATGACACAGTGCTGTAGTGTTCTACTCGGTCAGCTGATGGTCTGATAAAACAACTTTTTTTGACAAGAATTTTTTGCAAACAATTAAGAAAATGTCACATCACGTCAGGTTTAACAGCCCCATGCACCCCAAACAGCAGCTGACAGCCTTACAGATGCAGCTATTGTCTGAGAGCTCACCTTAGTTCCAGTAATTAACACCATATCTTCCCCATGGTTAGACGCAGTGCATCAGCTTCAAGGAGGAGCAACAAATAAGACAGCTCCACACTCAATTACAGCACACGTCAATCTGCCGTAGATGCAACCGGCGCTGCAGAAGCAGCTGTATGACACCCTTAATATGATGGAGATCTCAGCCCGCAGCACAATGAATACACCCATCAATCAAACACACACCGTCGTGATTCATTTAATGACATTGTGAGATACAGAAAACGACTTTTATTCTCGCATTAATGACGTTTTCATCCAAATCACATTCTTTTAGAATAAAAGAAATCCCAATGGAAACAGTCCCTGTGTTTTAATCGCAATATAAATACTCTGTGGTGATGAATCCCTCGTGTAAAACCGTATGCTAGCTATTCAGAATAATAGTTAGGCGTTAGATTCACTTTTTAAAAATGTCTAATTTCAACCCAATGGACTGATATCTTACCGTGAAAAAAAAGAAATGTAATAAGAAATCCCTTTTTATGCACGGTTTCACTTTTTTTCTTTGAAAAGGCAGTAAATGAAATGTATGGAGCTGGAGTGATACACATGGATATTATTTTACAGTAAAAATGATAGTACCTATTTCCATTCTACTGGAAACCTACAAACAGTCATTTGTTTAGGGTTCAGAACATTGGAAGTGCAAAACAGAAAAACGAAAGAAAATGTGTTTTTGGCACAACATTAATGGGGCTACTGGTCTGCATGAGACATAACATGCCTCTTGAATAATAATAATAATAATAATAATAATACAATCAATATAAATACTCTGTGGTGATGAATCCCTCGTGTAAAACCGTATGCTAGCTATTCAGAATAATAGTTAGGCGTTAGATTCACTTTTTAAAAATGTCTAATTTCAACCCAATGGACTGATATCTTACCGTGAAAAAAAAGAAATGTAATAAGAAATCCCTTTTTATGCACGGTTTCACTTTTTTTCTTTGAAAAGGCAGTAAATGAAATGTATGGAGCTGGAGTGATACACATGGATATTATTTTACAGTAAAAATGATAGTACCTATTTCCATTCTACTGGAAACCTACAAACAGTCATTTGTTTAGGGTTCAGAACATTGGAAGTGCAAAACAGAAAAACGAAAGAAAATGTGTTTTTGGCACAACATTAATGGGGCTACTGGTCTGCATGAGACATAACATGCCTCAATAATAATAATAATAATAATAATAATACAAAATTTAATTAAATAGCAATGAAAACAACTAACATTTAAACAGATTTAAGAAAACCATTTCAGGTTTACCCTGCAACTTTTCTTTTCGTGATGGTTTTTTTTTTTTTTTTGCTTTCGTTTTGTTTTTAGTGTGTAGTACATATAAAAGTGACTGACAAACATACAACACAGGAAACGTGCATTCGCTCTCTCTCTCTCTCTCTCTCTCGCACGCACACAAACATGCTAATATTTGCTAAGACGTGACACTCCGTCACACTCCCCTAGGACTACAGCCTAGTAAAAATACAGTAAATATATTTCTATATATTTCGATGAAATTGCAAACATACGCATACATGTGTGCTCGTACTTCAGTTCATATGCACAAGTACAAGTGTTACGTGGTATATTCTCTCTAAATATAAGCTCTGCTATGAGAATGCTTCGAGATCTCATAGTACACAGTGGTCTGTCTAGCCCTGGAGTGCAATCTGAGAAGTTTTACGGTTTAAATACCAGGCTTTCACCTCATGCCAGTCATACGCTCAGTAGATCTCCAAAGGCACTTCCATTTGGCCCGTAGGAACCGCTTAGCTGCTGTCTGTCTCGGGCTCCATAGATAAGCACTACGATTCAAAGCAACGTTCACTGACATCTACACAACAAACTTGGCCACAAACGACTCTTAAACCACGAGACGAGGATTCAGTCCTTGAGCTGATATGTCAGACGTAGGAGGGTGTCACGCATACCGTTTTGGAGCAGGGCTGCTTGTATGGAGGCCTTCACATTCAGGCAGACGTTAAACAATTCACCGACTGACTGCTCTGTAAACGAATGTCTTAAATGCAGCATTGCTAAAACTTTACATGTCTGTCAGGAAGACCAAAGGAAACGAACAAATACTTCAGTGCTATCGTCCTGCATTTGCATACACACACACACACACACACACACACACACACACACCTGTAGACACTCATACACACATATACAAATAAAAGTTACAATTAATAACGTAATAAAAACGAATAGACAAAAAAAAAGAATCACCATCTTAACGTGACGCTCATAACGTTAGTGTACCTTTGCGTGTGTTGTGTATAAAGTCTAGTGTTTGTAAGTCTCTGAGCTCTACAGAGAGCCCAGCGGCGTCCACAGAACTTTGCTCTGTTCCTGATCCACGATAGTCACGATCTGAGTGCAAATGTAAGGCAAGGTGCCTCCTTGAACGATACCTGTAAGGAAACATCAAACAACAGCGAGTCATGCTTTCATGAATCGAAAGTTGAAAAGAACAACATGTATTTGAAACAGAAACCTTTTGTAACATTATAAACACCTTTAATGTTGAATAAAAGTTTGAATTTCTTTCTTTAAATCGTACTGTTCCCATATGGCAATTTATACACAGAGATGTATTTTCCCTTCTTAAAATTAAAATAAACACAATAAATGTACTTTAATTGTAATTTACTATATTAAATGAGTAATATGATCATATTTGGTTAAAATAAATAAATACATCTGCTTCACAACATGGTGTCATATTTTGAAACTGATTTGTACCGAGGCAGATAAGAATAGCAAACCTGTGAAAAATTTGCTATACTCCTGCTCTATCTTCTGTGCGGTCTCAAACTGCTCCTTGGAATGTTTCTGAGAGACTTTATCCCGTAGATAAACTGGATCCTTCTGCTCTCTACACAGGCAAACAGAGGCAGTCATTCATAATGACATTACAAGATTAAACATGCACAATGACATTGTTCTTTTGAGACAAACGTGGTTCAAGCAGCAACATTTTGGAGGGGCGCATAATAATAAAACGCTTGTAAAATAAAGACATCAGCTGTTAAATACTAAAACTGAGTAAAAGTGTGCAGCTCCCTTGAGATATATATTCCTGCAGGGCAAAACAACTGAACATCTATGTAAACACCCGGCTGTGACAGGTGTTGTCTGTGTAAAGTAAAGTAAAGTAAAACAAAATAAAATATTCACTAGATTTCCTATATTGCCTTTTTTAACTTCATTCCCAATCATTCTTATACTACATATAAAATAAAACACAAAAGTAAAAAACAGATATACCTAATAAAGAAAGTCTATGTAAACACCCTCCTGTGATAATATTGCATTTTTTACAAGATTTCCTATATTACATTTATTTAATTTAACTATTAAATAAAAATTAATAGTAAAACTAAAAAAAATAAAATAAAAAAAGTTAAATAATTACCATAATAAAAAAAACAATTTGCACTAATATAACAACCCTCTCTCTCTCTCTCTCTCGCCCAAGTTGCTTGGAGTCCAGTGTTAAGTTTCCACAGTCTGTGATGATTTGGGGATCAAGAGACCAAAACATGCAGATGAACTGAAGGCCACTGTCAAAGAAACCTGGGCTTCCATACCACCTCAGCAGTGCCACAAACTGATCACCTCCATGCCACGCCGAATTGAGGCAGTAATTAAAGCAAAAGGAGCCCCTACCAAATATTGAGTACATGTACAGTAAATGAACATACTTTCCAGAAGGCCAACAATTCACTAAAAAAATTTTTTTATTGGTCTTATGAAGTATTCTAATTTGTTGAGATAGTGAATTGGTGGGTTTTTGTTAAATGTGAACCAAAATCATCACAATTAAAAGAACCAAAGACTTAAATTACTTCAGTCTGTGTGCATTGAATTTATTTAATACACGAGTTTCACAATTTGAGTTGAATTACTGAAATAAATGAGCTTTTCCACGACATTCTAATTTATTGAGATGCACCTGTATATATGTTTTTTTTTAATACATGGAAAATGTCACACAGAGACTTCAGACTTCATTTTATTAAAATCATGGTAATATTTAATTGTTGCTTTATTTTATACTGGTGCAGAATCCTGGTGAACATATCATGAATATTTGAATATGAAGATACCAACCAGCCCTGGTGTATGTGTATGTGAGTATTCATAGAAAGCCTTTCTGAGTTTCAAGAAATGCAACAGCCTATTAAGTCATTGTACATGACATGATGTCATGATCCTGAGTGCTAATGAGAGCAGTACTGATTAACTCGGGTTGCCTTTATATAAAATAGGTGCTAGTCAGCAGGTCAAAGATGACCTGCATTAATCCCCATAGTCATCGAGTGCAGGCTTGATTTGCTAATCCTTCTGGGAAATCACCAACTTAAAAACCTCTGTTGGGACGACTCCACACGGAAGCGCTGAAGAGACCTAAAGGCATGGTTATGCAGTGCTATCAGGAGAATAAAGCTGGGATTTATTGTCCTTTTAAGTCTCACACCCCTAGAGAGCTATCAGTACAGTATGCTGTGAACCCGTGATATACATATTAACGGTCTACAGTCGGCTTTAATTTTCCTCATCTGATAAACTGGGCAGGGAATCTCGCAAAGCGCCTTCAGCAGACAACCTTGAGTGAGAGCGAAGGAGAGAGACACAGACAGAAAGACTGAAGCGGCTGCCTACGCTGTCATATATCTTGTCCTATATCTGTGGGACGTTATGGTTAAAGTGAGCCAAGATTTTCATCTATTTAACAGCAGTTCTTCCAAGTCAAATGCAGCCTACATAGTAAAACTGCTTTCCATTTCCCCAATGTCTCCAGGGCCCTGAGGGAGCGCACAGGAACTTCTTGGCGAACAAATGTGCCAGGAGGGCCTTAAAGAAAGTGTGTGTGCGTGTGTGTGTGTTTGGACGGGCCCCACAAGGACACCCAAGAGCTCAGCTGGCTCTCTAAGTCGCTGAAATATTCGAGAAGTATGTGTGAAGAGGGATGTGGACACTTACTTTATCTGCTTTGCGTTTTTGTAGCGAATGAAAATGACGATCGGGTAAATGTGAACGCTGTGAAGCCGTTCGATAGCGTGAGGTGCAATGTCAAGCAAACAGTGACAGTCCTACGAGAGAAAACGACACAGCACAGAACAGGTCTGAGTCATGTTACACATATACAGCATGAGCGACTGCAAACAGAGAAACAAGAGCTCACTGACAGCACATCAACAAACATGAACCTCAGTCTTGATATTCATCTAATTAAAAGATTTATCAGATTTTAGCTTATTATTAAGGGCTATATTGTCTCAATTTAAAATCATAAAAAATTTGACTAAGATGCGATCAGCAGAGGTGTGGAAAAACCTTGTCTGTGATCTCCTTGATGGAGGCAACAGTAGTCACATCAAAATGGCCACTCCTCCGTTTGTAGTCAATGAAGAGAAAGTCTTTCACCCCACGCTCGATGGCCTGCTGGGAAGCCTTCATCACCTCTGGATAAGCAGAACAAACAAAGCTCAGCACACTCATATTCAGCAGCATCATTAGGCTGAACCAGCAAAAACTAATATGCAATTTAACAGTCCTTTATGAATTTCAATACTAACAAATTCAAATAAAACGACAGCTTGTACACCAAGTTCATTTCAATTAAGCGAACGAAGTTTTTTTCAAACAACCATTCAATAAATAAATAAAAAAGTTACAAATGTTTGTAAAAAAAGTGACTTGTGTGATAAAGGCTTTAATCACTAGACAACTCAATTTAAAAGAAAAAAGAAAAAAAAAAGAAAATTCCCATTATACAATTTTTTTTTATAATAGGCACACACCATTATATATATACATATATATATGGGTACCAAACTGAGTGGGTACTGAACCTATTTTAGTATAACTTATATATTATTATAGTATTTTTTTTATATTTTGGATTTTTTTACTTTTATCTTTTCAGTTTTCATTTTACTTTTAGGTTTATTTCAGTAAATTCCATTTAGTGTTAGTTTATTTTTATTTCAGTTTTAGTCATTTTAATACTTTAATTTAAGTGAAAATTAAAGTATTAAAAGGTTGCGAGTTCGAGTCTCCGGTCCGGCAGGGATTGTAGGTGAGGGGAGTGAATGTACAGCGCGCTCTCTCCCACCTTCGATACCACGACTGAGGTACCCTTGAGCAAGGCCGCAGCAAAAATGGCTGCCCACTGCTCCGGGTGTGTGTTCACGGTGTGTGCGTTCACTGCTGTGTGTGTGTGCACTTAGGATGGGTTCAAATGCAGAGCACTAATTCCTAGTATGGGTAACTCACTTCAAGTAACCTCTCAATTGAGTACAGGCACTGGTATGACAGTATTTGATAATGCTGTTGTCTATAAATGACTGTGCTGTGTCTATTATGGAGAAAACTGCAAAATTTGCTCACAGTTAATGTATAGACTATCTTTGTAGTTGTAGTAAACAGCAACAATCAATTAGCCAACTAAAATGCCTAAATTATCTTCAATTATTTGCTTTAATTCTCTGGAAAATGTGTTATATTGACATCTGTATTTTGAGAGTAGTGTCAGTCAGATATTATTAGAACTCACAACCAGTACTGATAAATCTCAATGCCATAAAGCATAAACAGTTAACCGTACACTAGGATTACAAAAATCATTTCAACAGAGATCACACTGCAGGTAAACACTAGTGGACATTTACCGAGCACACATCTGCTGAATTTCTCGGGGGATTCCTTGACCAGCATGTCTTTAACAGGATCCACCAGCGGGCCGAGGATCAGCACCGGTCTGGGAGACATGCAGTCAATCTTCTGCACTCTCTGATAGGCCAGACTCACAAAATCTGACCACACCCCAAAAAAACAAAACAGGGTCAACATCAATCTTATCAAAATGCTAATTCCACCAGCACTGCATTATGAGATACTGGAGGGTCTCACCATCTAAGAATGGAATCGAGTCTGTGCTGATTGCGTCCAAGGCTACAGCATCTTTCCCGTCTTTGGAGCTGCTACGTTTGTGCTTCTGTTTCCTGCGGAAGAAGGATCGGCGTGCGGCAGCGGAGAGGGTCTTACTGGAGCCCGCCTCGTCCTTCAGTTCAGTCATACTGTGTCTGCGGTAGAACTCCTGATCCATCCTACAGCAGAACATGAGTCCAGGTCACACAACTGCAGTCGTCTGTATAGTATGTTTCATACTGTTACCTCCTATTATTCAGTTCATTTAAAAACCAGTCATAACCACTGATCTATAATGACTATTATAGATCAGTGGTCATAACCTATGTATACACACATTTTTGTGTCTGAGGTAAGCTTATGCATTATTCCGAACACATGAATTCAAGTTAATTCTAACTAGTGGTTGAATTAAATCAGAAAATATAAATCTAGTATGTAGCTAAAAGGCTACAGTTATACATTTATACCACAGATTGTGTGTACTCAAGATTGCTGAAATTAAACACTAACTTTAAACATTACAACATATTCCCACAATACTCATGTAAAATAATAAAATATAAAATTCTATAATAATACAATTTAAAAATGTAATCAGCCAAGTGGGAATGGTTTGCATCTGATGCAATAAAAAAAAAAAGTGGTCAAATATCAGCCAATATTTATACACTACACATTCAAAAGTTTTGGTTAAAAACTTAAAAGTTTTAAGTTTTGGTTAAAAAGTTTTTTATTAAAAAAGGGAGTTTCTTATGTCCACCATTCTATTTTTAAATACAGTAAAAATACAAATTTTGTAAAATATAATTATAATTTACACTGCTTTCTATTTTAATAGAGTTAATTTATTCCTGTGATGCAAAGCTGAATTTTCAGTATTATTACACCAGTCTTCAAAGTCACATGTTCCTTCAGAAATCATGCTAATAAGCCGTTTTTAAACATTTCTTATTATTATTAGTTGAAAATAGTTGTGCTGTGTAGTAAAGCATGGAAAGTGTGGAATTGTTTTTCCCCCCAGGATTTTTCGAAGTTTGAAAAACAGCATTATTGAAACAGAATCTTTTGTAACAATGTCTGTAGCGTCTGGACCAATCAGACACACCATTTTTCATTTGATTTAACAAATCAATTATTCAGTAGATTAACAAACGTTCACAGACCCCTCACCCAATAAACATACTGGGTGCCAAGTTGTCTGTGAACAGGGCCCAGGACCCTGGTTACCATGGCAACCCTGACACCAGATACATTTACGACCTAATGGAATGCGAAGCAGGGAAAATCACTGCATGTTCCATCGCAAGAGGCACAAGGCACAGTAGAAATGGACTTTTCTACTAATTAATTCATAGGAAAACCTTTCTTTGAATGAACAGTGTATCCTTCAGGTCATGGTGTATGTTGTCTTTGATATTTTTAGACTATTTTATGCATGCTTATGATGGAACCCATTCCTGTAATCTTGCCTATATGTAATCCTTCCATGTTTAGTATCTATGAATTCGCCTTCTGATGATCGAAACAAGCGTGTATATTATATGTTGGTACATAGGCAATATATTAGTGTCCTGAGAATCTTTAGTAATTTCGATTCAAGTTCATATGCAAATTACCATGCTTCCACACAAAGAGTCATAAAACTCCCCAGTATTTCAAAACTCCCACTTGGGATAACGGCCTTTCTCATTGGACAAGCCCATCTTGAGAGGCGGGGATCTTCTCCGACCTTAAAGGCATCACACCATGTGACCCGCCCAGAGTCGGTGGTTTGTTTGAATTCTGAGAAGATGTGAGCTACAATGCTCCAGGACATCCTTAAGTACGTGCCAGGCTTCGGCCTTGACTTTTCCATTCATCAAGATTCTCTGACGCAAACTGGTTCTTTTTCATCAACCAACTTCAGCAAAGATAAACTTGAACCTTTGGACTGCATCAAGCCTTTCTTTCAGACAGACGAGACGTGCAAGTATTCAAACTTAGTCTTATTAATTGATACATTAGGTATCATTTGCACCTTTTTTACAAAGGTGTGTTTGAACTAAGAATCTGATGTTCCCTTCAGACTGTAGATCTGCTGAATATGCAAATGGTTCCATAACGTCATATTCTTATTTTCTCTTCTCTCTACTGCGTTAAGCTTTAACCCTTTCCTATACCAACTGTATGTGTGTGTGTGTGTATGTTGGACCAGTTTAAGTGTTTATGTAGTATGTTAGACTAGTTTAAGTGTTTATGTAGTTCATAAAGTCTTATTTGTATCACACTTGACGTTGTTCATTGTTTGCTCATAACTGGAGTCACTTAATCATGCAGATTTATGCTACAAGCTCTGTGTAGAGTTGTATAGTAAGAAAGTTATTTCCCTTAACCAGGAAATTAACGTTCTTAGAATTGACAGACAGTTGACCCTGAGAGGTCAACTAAATACAGTATCTACAGCGGATCTAAATATTTATAATTAATTATAACTAGTTATGATTAATTATTCATATTTCCCCATGAGGTGATTCGCTACAATGTCTTTACTGTCAAAAAAAGAATACAAATATAAATGTAAATAAAAGCATTAATAATATGATGCTTTCTAAAGATAGTGTCTTCAGAGGGTGTGACTCACATATATTTGCTAGGGATCTGCCCTCTTTGAATTTTTTGTGCATTTTCGTCAAGTTGCCAGGCCATCCAGGTGCCGAAGTTGCCATTTGGTAGTGTGTCATCCACATAGAGGATGTCGTCTTTCTTAAAAGAGAGGTCGAGCTCAGTCTCAGCCACTCGGTCATAAAGTGCTCTGGAAGAGAAAGAGGACATGAATAATTCAACAAGTGACAGCATTATACACGGGGAAAGGCTGCAGCGTCTGCAAGAACGAGGTAATACGAGACAAATGAAAAGAGTGCAGAAGACAATGAAAAATAAAGGAAGGAAAGAACGAATGAAAAATTCAGGAAGAGGCCGGGACAGAGTCGATCCCTCATTCCTGGGAGTAGCACGAGGCGGCTTTTAGCGGCCACCCATAACTCCTCATCCCTGGTCATTCATGACATGCAGATAGATGGAGATTATTTACAGCCTGTGACATCATGGGAGAGCAGGCATAAAAAGCGCCTGCAACAGCTGCGGGCCACAGAATTTCATTTGCAAAGACAAACATGGCTATTTCTGAACAGCCCTCTTCCATTATTCTTTTTCCACCGCGCAGACACAATGCATCTCTGTCTCCAACCATCTAATTACCACAGCTACTATTATAGAACACAAATTATGGAGATTTGGTGATACGATCTTCACCGCCAGATACAATATCTCACCCTCCATCTTAAACATAATTAAAGAGATTAAAAGATTCCCATTGCAGCAGTTTTCTCACATATCTATATTTAGAGCAGCGCACACAAGGCCCAAACACTGGCATTTGGTTCTATGGAAGCGGAAAGTGGCCATGAATGGTGATGTATGTTGATGCAGACGAGATCATGCTGTACCTGATATAGAATCCATCTCCAGGAGTGTCCTTCACCTGGTTGAACTCATCCAGACGATGCTGGACTCTGAACGTCACTGTTTCTGCAGGCTTCAGCATTTCCAGATACGCCTCCTCAACAGTCTTATTCTTCATACTAACAGTGCCATACTGGATGAACAAAGAATGACAGAAAGGGTGCAATCATCAGACTTGCACTCCTGCAAACTATTCTTACTGAAAGATTACTACTTGTCCATTTTAAACAAAGACTACAAGAGTTATCGGAAGCTTAAGCGATGGAGACATTGAAATCGACCGTGATGTAGTTTATTTATAGCCTAACTTTGCTTACTTTTGGTGACTGTATTTGGACTTTAAAGGGTTAGTTCACCCAAAAATGAAAATTAGGCTGTGTTTCACTCACCCCCGAGGCATCCTAGGTGTATATGACTTTCTTCTTTGAGACGAATCCAGTTGGAGTTATATAAAAAATTGTCCTGGCTATTCCAAGCTCTATCATTGCTGTCAGTCATCGGGTATTGCAGTGCTTCAGTCCAAAATAAATTAAATAAAAAGCGCCCATCCATAAAAAAAAGTGTCTCACATGGCTCCGGGGGGTGAACAAAGGCCTCTTGTAGCGAATCGATGCGTTTTTGTATGAAAAATATCCATATTCAAAACGTAATCATCACTTTAAACTAGCTTGCGCTCACTGTTGTAAATGGAAGCAGTTCCAGGCGGATGACGTATGAGGTCGGCTTTGTGCATGCGCCGCTCAGAAGTGACAAATGCGGAAGCGCAGGCAAGAGATCAAAGCAAAACAACGGTCACTAATTCGAAGTACAAAACGAGGATTTGTAAAAAAAAATAAATAAAAAAAAATAAAAAAAAAAAAAAAATGTCAGAGGATTTCGAAATAAGCCAAGAGGAGACTGGTTTTCCTTTGCTAAAGTAAGGAAACTTTGCTTCCTTTGCTCCTGTTAACAAACGTTGGTTTTCACGAGACTCACCGGCGCATGCGCAGCGCTGAACTCAGAGGTAATACACCCGGAGTTGCTTCCATGTACAACTGTTGGGGCAAGCTAGATTAAAGTGATTATTACGTTTTGAATATGGATATTTTTCTTACAAAAACACATTGATTCGCTACAGGAGGCCTTTGTTCACCCCCCAAGCCGTGTAAGACACTTTTTTTTTTATGGATGGTCGTTTTTATTTCACTTCTTTTGGACTGAAGCACTGCAACAGCCGCTGACTGACAGCAATGATAGAGCTTGGAATAGCCAGGACAATTTTTAATATAACTCCAACTGGATTTGTCTGAAAGAAAAAAGTCATATACACCTAGGATGCCTCGGGGGTAAGTAAAACACATCCTAATTTTCATTTTTGGGTGATCTAACCCTTTAAATTCATAAAGGTTTTGTTCATTTGTGAAGATCATCTCGATTAACAAAATGTGCAGGAATCATAACTTTTGTTGGTCACAGAGCTCACTTTCTGCAATAATCCAAAAGCCAATTGAAGAAATTCCAATTGGCTTTTTGTCAAAGAAACCAGGGTGAAATGTGTCATCAATGCAGCACTATACAGAGTAGAAAACCAAATCATAATATTCAGCTTAAGTTAAAAGTCTAACTGCACCAGTGCCAATGTTAAGATGCTTCCGGAAACCTGTTTGTCTGGATTGTAACAGTCAGGGCTGTCCATGATAGTGTATTTGTCATTTCAGGTCAGTGCAAGGCATATAACACTAAAAAAAGGAAGTACAATCATTCTTTTGTGTCTTACAAAGAACTGTAGTCTCACCATTTCTGTTCATAGTAGTTCCCTAAAAGTACAACACAGAAAGAGCAGTAGCTCCATTTACCTCAAGTATCATGTCCCCAGGCACAAGACCATCCACTCCTCTGGCAGGACTGTCCTCTTCCAGCCTCTCCACAAATATCCCCTGCAGGTTTCCTCCACACAGCTGAATGCCCAGCTCTCCCTGAGTCTTCCTCACCGTTACCAAGCGAGGCTCTGGAACTTTCTTGGAACTCTCAGAAGACATCCTGACATTCAAGAGCAAAAACAGGCTGGTCACCCAAAGTCATGGATTTTGTGTTGTGTGACCCAGGCGTTTCCAAAAAGTAAGCTGCATATTTATGCTTTCTTTGAGAAGAGCTACAAAATGTATGGCCAAACTGTAAAGCATTGCACATATCCTTCCAAAAGAAGGCATTCCAAAGAAATGCAGGTGGGTGTACAGCAAGAGACATTTACTGAACTGGCAGTTTGGAGGACTAACTGCCACACAGGCACACAAACAGGGTAGAAAGCGGAGGGAGTGTGCATACAGGAGGACTTCAATAAAAGATCCAGAAGGTTATACATTTATTCTCCTAACCTAAATACGCATGTATATATACCCAATTTACCACCCAAACAAGTAAAATCTGGCTTTAATGTAACAGCTCCATGTCCAGACAAAACATCAACACTTCACTGACAAGTACACCACATTTCAAAACAGACCTCTATATTCCTGAGTAAAGAAATTATTAAAGCTGCTGTAAGCGATGATAACCTCCTGGCTATCATCTACAAGTCAGAAACAGGTTAGATTTCTCAAGACACTTATTTCAGAGATACCTGATATTTTACACATGGCAAAAATTCCTTATAGCAGCTTTAAACTCCCTTTAGCATTTGTGATTGACTGATTGAGGAAACTCTGGATCTTTTCAGGATGAGAGCAGCCAAACTGACATGCAAATCATAAATGTCTCACTTAAGCACTGAAGTACACATTTACTCCAAAAACAGCTAAACCTGCTCTGTACAGATTTAACATTCATGAGGAATCTCTTGCTGAGCAGGTTAATCAAAAACGTAAATTAGAAGCAGCGGGAAATATTACCCAATAACACCAATTAAACTCCACTTGAAGGAAAATGTTGACCGAGATTTATAAACCTGATCCCCTCCATGTAGTTGTATTAAAGGGATAGTTCACACAAAGATGAAAATTCTGTCATATTTACTCACCCTCATGTCATTCAAAACGTATGATGTTCGTTCATCCTGAACACAATGAAAGACATTTTTTATGAAATGTGTGAGATTTCTGTCCCTCCATTGAAAGTCCATTCCACCAAAATGTTCAAGCTTCAAAATGTACATAAAGAGATTTTACAAGTAATTTATATGAACAGAACGGTTTAATAAAAAAAATTGTAGAGACACGGTCACTTTTTATAATTAACAGATTCAATTAGGATTTTTTTCCACTTATAGACATTAATCAACACGCATACACTGAGCACATCGAATATGGTAAACAGAAGCTCAACTGCACTTGACATGTGAGAACCAATGAGTTTTATGCTTGCGTGTCAGTTGACACTTTACTCTTTGCATGAGCATTGATTAATGTTTATCTCTTTGGTAAGACTTTAGTTTAGGGACCAATTCTCACTATTAACTAGTTGCTTATTAGCATGCCTATCATTAACATATTGGCTATGTATTAATACTTATAAAGCACATATTCTGCATGACCATATTCTACCTCTTTAATCCTACCCAATACCTAAACTTAACAACTACCTTACTAACTATTAATAAGCAGAATATTTGGATTTTATTGAGACAAGTCATAGTTAATAGGTTGTTAATAGCGAGAATTGGACCTTAAAATAAAGTGTGACCATCGCTTTATATCTCATGTAAAACAATCATGTCTCTTTAGAACACTTGGAATAAACTTTGATTCACATTGATTACTTTTACCTTTAAAAGTAATCACATGGATTCGTTTTTTTTTCTTCCTCAATGGAGGGATAGAAATTTCTAAGGTTTCATTAAAAATATCCTCACGTGTCTTTGAAAGAATTAAAGGGGTCATATGATGCTATTTAAATGTTTCCTTTCTCTTTGGAGTGTTACAAGCTCTTGGTGCATAAAGAAGATCTGTAAAATTGCAAAGACTAAAGTCTCAAATCCAAAGAGATATTCTTTATAAAAGTTAAGAGTCAGCCACGCCTACCTAAAACGGCTCGTTCTAACACGCCCCCACATACCTACGTCACGATGTGGGAAGATTTGCATAACGCCGCCCAAATGTTCACGCAAAGAAAGAAGGCATAACTTTTATTCTCGCTGTAGTATTGTTGCTGCCGCCATGTCGAGACGCTGTGTGTTTCGTTGTGAAAGAGAAACTACTTTGTTTGGCCTTCCAAAAGAGGACGATATCCGCAATCATCGCTCCGGCCGGACAGGGCATCATCACAATATGGTAAGGGTCGTAACATTTCGCTTGATGTATTCGGCCAATCACAACGCACTGGATAGCTGGCCAATCAGAGCACACCTCGCTTTTCAGACCGATGAGCTTTGTAAAAATCGACGCGTTTCAGAAAGGCGGGGCACAGAGGAGAAACAATAATGTACAGTATGTGGAAAATAATGTGTTTTTTGAACCTTAAACCGCATAAACACATTTCATTACATCAAATACACAAAACAATGTTCTTTTTAGCAACATCATATGACCCCTTTAAAGTCTTGATTTGGAATGACATGAAGGTGAGTGATTGAGGACAATTGAAATTTTGGAGTGACCTAACCATGTAAATAAAACAAAATAACAAGGGCCTCGGAAAACAACACGTTTTCAAGGTCTTTGGTTTGCCTGAACAACTAGTTGACTAATCAGTCAGAGTCATCATGAACTGCCATTCACAACCCATTTTACTTTGGTAAAGCAGCATTTCCATGTGGTAAATATATTTCTTGTAGCCTGGGCTGTATGCTAACACAACACAGAGAAGCAGGAATTTCTACAGCCAACCACTTGGAGCAAACAACTACGTTTGTCAGGCATTCCCTGTGCGTAACTGGCAGGGAACAAACCTCAAGCATCTGAGAGAGGAGAACCTAGGCCTAGCAGCCAGAGGGATTCTCAGAAAGGATCTGTTATGGTACAGAGATCTGAAAGATTCAGAGGAGCAAAGAAGAGAGGAGAAAAACAGATTGTGAAAGAGAGAGACACACAAGGGACTCTGGAGGAAGACAAATATGTAGAGAAGAATTATAATAAATACATAAGAACAACTGGAATGAATGAGTGACCTAGTTTACAAAACTCCACTCAAAGTCGATCTGAATTTTATATGATGGTGCAGATTAAAATAAGTTGAGCGACGGTGACGTTATGAATGACTGATCCTTCAACATACATTACTTTATATTCACGCACAGTCCAATTATTGGAGTCAGATAAAGGGCTTCTGAGCTGTATGTGGATAAGTGCGAGCTGTTGCGGGGGGGGGGGGGGGGTGGAGGACCCGAGGCAGCGCGAGTGTACCTGTCTTTTCTCCGCTCTCCCGTGGGTACGGGGCTGACGGAGATCCTGGGCAGGGTGGAGATGGAGCTCTGAGACTGGCTGGAGGCAAACGAGGACGTCTCCAGATTGAAAGGAGACAGAGGTGGCGTGATGAGACTGGGACTGCTGCATTCTGAATGAGACAGGGACCCTGATGAACAACACACAGAAACAACAATCAGCATGGATTCTAGACTGACTATAACACAACTACTTCACAATTTTGACAACAATCCATACAACCCTCTATATTTATGCATTTGCCATCAAGGCCAATTAGACTAAAATGTTTACTGCAAGTAATACAGAGCAAAAATTTACTTAAATATAATAAATAGTAACAAACAGCAACATTTACAGACAGACACAACAGTTTCAAAACGTTGGGGTTGGTAGGATTTTTTAATTAAATTAATACAGTAAAGCCATTTATAATAAAAAATTTATTTTAAATACATGCTGTTCTTTTGAACTTTACATTTTTTCCCAAATCTTGAAAATACAATCACAGTTCCCACAAAAATATAGAGCAACACAACTGTTTTTGACATTGATAACAATATTAAATGTTTCTTAAGCAGCAATTATTAGAATATTAGAATGACTTCTGAAGGATAGTGATAGTGAAAATTCTTCTTCTTTGCATCACAGGAATAAATTACATTTTAAAATGTATTAAAATAAAAAGCAGTTATTTTAAAATGTAATAATGTTTCACAATATTACCGTTTTAACTGTATTTTTGGTCAAATAAGTGCAGCCTTGGTGAGCATAAGAGACTTCTTTCAAAACCATAAATTCTTTTTTTTTTTTTTTTTTTTTTTTTAAAAAAAAACCCAAAATTTTTTTTTTTTTTTTTTTTTTTTTTTAAATACAGACCCCAAACTTTTGAATGATCATGAAAAGGGCAGGGACATTTCCTGAATGCCAATTTTGCAACTGAAGTTTAAATCAGAAATGCTACTGAAAGACCTTAGTCTTCACACTCTCATACTCGCAAGTCATGAAACAAGAAATAAGTGCAAAATTAGCTAAATGGTACACTTTATAGCTGAATGGCTGAATAGAACATTAAAATCATCACGATTTTCACAATGCCGATATTTGCTCATTTTAATTCACCAACAAAATGATCACTAAAATACCATGAATATACATTATTATTGATCTGTTCTAGTACAAAAGGAAACTTTGGGACAAAGAACAGTTCATTTCCACTACTTTGTATATATTTGACGCTGAAACTAAACGGAGACTTAAATTTTATGTATGAATCACTATTAGTTAGGAAAGAAAACCTATTTGCCGCAGGTTATTTATTCAGGCTTCCAATATTTCAGTGTATACAAATGTCAGACTTGTTTGTGCAAAGTGTTCTCTACTTGACATGTCTTACTTGATTTAGCTTAGTCTGACATTTTAATTGCCTTTCCTGTACCGTATTGCTGCATCTGGTGGTTTAGTTTTATATACTGCAGTATGGAAGACAACACTGGATTACAAATTCTAAATAAACATATTTCAGAAATAATTAAATAACTAAATAAATAAATAACTTGACTAAAACACATAGACGTGAGTTGACAATGTAGCATCCTACTTGAAATGTTTATTGAAGTATGATGCCTGCAGTCTCTTCTACATATGTAGAAATGGGTGTTAATTTTCAGGTTTCAGGCCCCACCATAGCACAGAAACTGCACTTGTTAAAATTACAAATGACTTGCTTCTTGCGTCAGACCAAGGCTGCATCTCATTGCTAGTTTTACTTGATCTTAGTGCTGCGTTTGACACTATAGATCATGACATACTCATAGATCGATTACAAAACTATACAGGTATTCAAGGGCAGGCTTTAAGATGGTTTAGATCCTACCTGTCCGATCGATACCATTTTGTTAATTTAAATTGGGAGACATCTCAGTTATCACCAGTAAAATATGGAGCGCCACAAGGATCTGTCCTAGGTCCTCTGCTATTTTCGATATACATGTTTCCCTTGGTAATATTATTAGAAAATACGGGATTAGTTTCCACTG